CTTGTGACTATAATTTATATTTTGGGGTGTTTGGGTATCTTGTGCAAAATCTTGTAGATTTTGGGGCAAGATTTTTATCAGGATCTTGCCATGTTCATGCCATGACCATTACAGGAATACCCAAGAAACTAGACAAGATCCCGGCAAAACACTGCAAGATCCTTAAGATATAATGCAAAGTCTTGCAAGTTTTGGCAAGATTCTTGTTAGGATTTTGTCATGTTCATGTCATTATTCTGGCAGGAATCTTGTCATGACCTTGCCTGATCTTACATAAATCCAAGCAATATTTTTTTCAACCACGGGTTGTACAGTCGCTGATTAAATGCCATCAGCAAAATCACTTCCAATTGTACCAACTCAACTGGAACAGTTGTACCTTTTAGTGGTAAAAATAAAAATGGCTGTAACAGCTCTTCTAATCTATGCTTACCTTTTAGGGTTTGTATTTAAAACTGACTGCCGATCCCTACAGGTTAAAGACGACTGCTCGTGGGCTATGATTTTTCAGGAAATGTAGTAAAATAATTTTTTTTCCCTATTTTTTAATAGCATGGCAAGAGAGAACTACCAAAGGTAGGGCAGAATATTCTTACTCTAGGATTAATTAAGGTCTGTAGTTTTTCATTTTTACGCACACAATTGCCAAATTGTTTCTCAGTTGTGTAGGGAACGTCCTTAAGGCTCTCTAGCACCTGTTTTTATTATTATCRTTATTATTATTCAGCTGTGCAAAGTGTTCAACTTGTAAGAGTTAATTACCTCGAACGGAGGCAATAAGCCATATACATCCCGAGGGCCGCAGGCCCGAGGGATGTATAGGCTTATTGCYGACGTTCTCGGTAATTAAGTATTTTATTTATCAATTGAGAAGGTTTTCTATCAAATGCTGCTCATTATAAATGCGAACGGTCTATATATAGTTATTAAGGTGGCTCGACTGGGTTTTGTTTGTGGCGTACCTTCGAAGTTTGAAGGGGAAATGCGTCGCTGCCAATGAATTAATTTCAAATAAATTATTATGACATGTCTAGAAATAGATTCAAGTTTTAAATGATACACAATTTATCGTGATCGGAGTTACCATAGCAATACAGTGACGTCATGTCATTTTTTTATACATTCCATTTTTGGCGAAATCAGACGTTTGT